AGAGAGAGAGAGAGAGAGAGATGCGTGAGAAAACGTCGGATTGTCCGACACCCTTTGCAAGGGTGTAATCATCTTTGCTCAGTGTCGTCCGTGAAAATCCATTCTCGTCACGTCGAGACAAACGGCGCAGTTGACTCTCCATCTAAATCTCCTTCCTCCTTTCGTTCTTGGGATCTCTTTTCTTTACTCGCACGGATAAGAAATGAATTAAAATTCTCAAGGAGACTGAAACGTCACGTTCCTCGTCGACCGTCTCATCTCATTCCATGCTTCTCGCGGAAAAAAGCATCGCGTTCGTTCGCCTTCAGGTATCCGGAAGATAAAGAAAACGAGAGATTGGAGACTCGGTTCGCGAGATTTTGTAGATCGTTCGATTCGAACGAGCCGGACTACCGGTACGTTTCAAACTTTCTACGAGAACAAAGAAACCCAAAGGATTCCTAGGAAGAGTTAACCTAAAACTTTGAATAAAAAGTTTAGTTCTTTTCTAAAAAATAGAAATTCGTGCGATGTAAAATATTTACCTACCTCGAATACAGGTACAGGCGGAGGTAAGTACATCTTAATATCGTTACTAAACGTCTCCGTTTTAAGTATGTGAATGTGCACACGTAATATAAATAAAGTCGAATTTTAACCTATATATAATTTTTAGTATATACACGAGTATATCCATCTAAAACACGCATATTATAAAAAATATATACGCATATATGTATTCAATAAAATAGAAGTAGAAATATAATAATATATATATATATATATACATATTTTATTTTTTTACATTGCAATAAATATTATATACCATATTCTTTATCTTCTTTTTTCTTTTTCTTAGTTCTTTTTCCAATAATTATAATTTTTCACTTTATAATATTTGCACACAGATTCTTTTACTTACGATTGCTTTAATCACAATTAGATGTTTTTTGAACAAGTATTTCTGGACATTATAGAATTTCAACCGTGTTTCTTTCGTTGGTCTATATAAACTGTCAATGAAATTTATCTTGCCGATAAGTTAGTTGACGATTAAAAAATTTCGATCAGCGCCATCTCGCGTTTGGATCACCGAAGCTCCGACTCGTTATTAATATAACAGAATATGCAAGGAGGTATCCGTGACGTCACAGAGAAGGAGAGTAACATTGTGCGAGAAGGACAGAGAAGATGTGCCACTATTTTTGGTTATACGGCTCCTGATACTTTCTAAATAATTGAGAACGCTATATTGAAAATTTATTAATTATTAATTTTCTATTAACAATTTCTACACTTTTAAACTCACGACTTAAAGTTGAAACCTCAGACAACTTTCACGTATAAATTTTAACGATAAATACTTTTCGATTAATTATTTATTAAGTGGATTTTTGCCTCGTATGCGGATTGACACAATCGACGCGCAATACATTTTTCATTAATTTCATATTATTATTAGATTTATTTCTCAATATAAACATATCCATTTAAAAGTTAGTCAGTTCTTCCTTTATTTTCACGTACTATTTTTATTTATAAGTTTGCTGTTATTTAAACGAAATAATTTACTGTTTAATTATATATATATATATAATATAGAGTATATTAAATGATAAAAATTTCTATGTTTTTAAGCTCGCATCTCAAAGTTAGAACCTCGAACATTTTCTCGTATGAACGAAAAAATTCTTCTTTATTAATTGCTTATTAATGATTATCACAAAGTATATTCTCGATCTATCGAGTAATAAATAATCGATTTATTTATGTAAATAACAACATAATTGTGAATAAAAAATATACGTAATGTAGAGGAAACAATATTTCAGATGCATAAATTTAGAAATAAATTTTATAAATGATGTGAAATTAATATGAAAAATATACAAGCACACATCGATTACATCACTTTGCATATGACGCATTAATCGTTAATTAATAATCAATCGAAAACAATTTCTCGTTAAAATTTATAACAGAAACTCGTTTAAAGTTCCAACTTTGAAATGCAATTTTAAAAGTGCAAAAGTTTTTGATAAAAAATTAGTTAATAATTATTTTTCAACGTAGTATCTTCGAAATGATGAAATATACGGCGACATTTTTTCCCTATCCTGCTCGCACAATATTGCTCTCCTTCCCTCTGTGACGTCACGAATACCTCCTTGCATATCCTGTTACATTAATAACGAGTCGAAGCTTCGCGGATCCAAACGCGAGATGGCGTTGATCGAAATTTTTCGATCGTTGTCTAATTTATCGGCAAAATGCACTTTTTTATTACATATCGTATCGCATATTTATATTTCTATTTTCTATTTTATATGATGATTTAGAAGAATAATCGTACAAATAATTATATAAAATTTCGTAGTTAAAAGTAAAAAAAAAAAAAAAAAAATTACCTCCAATAACAAAATAACAATTCGATCGAAAGATTTATTCACGTAGGAATATTTCGAAAAATCGGGGGAAAATTTTGCATGCTACGTTTCCTTCGATTATATTCCCTTGTTACAAAATCGATGAATACGAACGAATATTTATAAAAGATTACGATTCTCTATTATATACACGCTATATCACGCTTAGCAAGAAGCACACGTACAAGAATTTTCTCAGAATCTTAAAGAGAAAAGATTTCGAGATACATAAAAAGAATATTTTAAAAGCGCGCTTTTCTTTCGAAAGTGTATAGAATTTATGATATACATTTTTTTCCTTCCTCACAGGGGGAAGAAAAAGGTTTGGGAATCGAGGCAATCTCTTTATCCGTGGGAACAGGGATTAGTTGGTTTCGTTAGGGTTTCGAAAAGAATGGGCGAAGCACGATCCGCGGGATGATTGGAGAGGAGGGAACCGTGACTGGTTAATTGGAATTGCCGGCAAACTCGGCGACTCCTCGCCCTTGGAAGCATCGATGAGATTGCAGCAGTCGTCAAGGATCGACCGGTTTCCTCTTCAGTTTCGCCTCTATCTTCTCTTTCACCCATTCCTTTTCATTCGGCATAGCGACGAGGCGACTCAATCTCGCCCCCGGCACCCCCTTCGACTCGAAGAAACGGCGCGATTGTAATTGTTACTCCATCCATCCGCCTCGATCATTCGTACCCTCTCCTTTTCGTAAAAAAATCGCGCCCTCTTTTTGTCTCTCCCCCTCGCATAAATTCGACGAGAATGTCGTCGCATCTAAATTCCACGTATCCGCGTCTATTTTTCCTTTCATTTCATATTTCCCACGAGTTATGAAATCGTCGAAAGAACTCGTGCAAAATTAATTATTCGCACGAAGAGGAGGAGGAAGGATACGTGGATTTTTAGGATGGGACGCGCAAAACAAACGGAATTTGCTCGATCGCCTGGATCGTTGAATCCATCCTCGTTTTTCTCCCCCCCCCCCGGTTCGTAAGTTATACTCTCGCTTCTTCGTCCACGTCTATATCACGATAAATTCACCTATTCGTATCTCTCCTCCATCGTGTATCGGCAAAGAATGGATCGAACGAGAACTCTTTTTTTTCCTATCCCCATTCTCATTAATAATTCTTCTTCTTTTTCTCGTTTTTTCTCGAAAGAGGAGAGCCGCACGATATTAACCGATCTTCGTTATCGAGACATGCACAACTCCCATCTTGGGCGAAACTACTCGGAACGTTTCCTCCCTCGTTTGCATGCCGATACGAACTGTGTGTGCCACCGACCTGCAACCGAGGAAACTTTACCATTTCTCTCTCCGGATTACCAAACTCTCCGCGTACAGCTGCGCTTTGAACCAGGTGAATGCAGGTGTTTCGAGACCTGTCCCAATTCGCCCCTTATCGGCCTTCTTCCTCCCCTTGAATCGAGATAATTTCCTCCCCCTCCATCTCTTGCCTCGAAAGGCGTGGAACGGATCGATCCGCGAACGGATCGATCGACGGCTCGTCTTAATCACCGATTTATCACTCGCCATTGCTCCTCGAGGGCAATCGCGCGTGGCCCCCTGATACATGGCCGATACACGCTCGGTTGAATTGGCCGTCCACCCAAGATTCCTCGAATCCGAGTTAAGGGCTCGAGTCGATGGGACGGACAGCCCCGCTGACGAGGACGATAACGAGGCTTAAATCATCTCCCCTTTCGAAACACGGAGAATTGCAACGTCGAGATCCACGTCGATCTCGAGATCGAATTTTCGAGGGACACGTCGCGGAAGAAATTGGGGGAAGGGGAAGGTTGGTGGTGGTCGGAAACCCCGCCATTTTCCGCTGTCACGGGATCAGTTACTCTTCCAGGATGCGTTGGCCCGTGAACTCGGCGATAACGCAGAATTATAGTCCACGACTGACCACTCCCTGCGAAATCGGCCCATTTCGTACCGATTCGCGTCGTCGTTCCAACCGCTCTTTTCTTTCACACGCGTGAAAGAATCTATTCTCTTCGAAGAACGGGAAAATTTAGGAAAACGTTGCAACTTTCTCCTCTGCAACGTTTGCATTAGAGCAAGATTAGATTATCGTTTGCGTCCCCTTCTTAATTCGTGGAATAATTTTAAGAGGATTATAATTTAACGCGTGTCCAATAATTACAGGTCTCGGCCGATCTTGCCACTGATGGGGAGGAGATTATAAACGCCAGAACAAAACGTTTCTTAGCCGTTTTTTAGCACAACAATTACTCGAGATGGGGATGAAATTTTATATATATTGCCAGAGAAGAATTTGCCCCCTTTAAAAACCTGCCAAGTGAAAAGTTGCATGACCGATTATATATCCCACTCGTCTCGAGCGCGCTTTCCATCAATCTCCATTTTCCAAAGTTTTTGCCTTCTCCTCGATTCCTTATCTCTCTCCTGTCTCGACCTCCAATTTGATTATCACTTTGTCGGGGAGGGAAGCAGACTGCCAGCGATATCATTTTTGTCCCGATACATCCCGCAAACTCTGATCAATTATGCGCCGGAGAGTATACGGAGAGCCGAACGATTTTTCATTCACACCGAAAAATTAATGCGGCTCGATCCTCATTCGTCGTAATTTTAATTAGTTTAGGATTTTCCAAATCCCGATTTCGTATTATTAGTTTCACGCGTTATATTAATTTCCGATACGAGAACTTTTCGACAAGTATATTTCGGCGAGGCAAATCGAGACCGCGTTTACTTTGCGTAAATTTGAAAGTTCGTCCGAGAAGTTTGTTGCATGTCGTTTCGAAGATAAGATTTTTCGATGAAATTCGAAATTCGTGAATGTTTCGTGTATCGATTCGCCCTCTTCTTCTTTTTTTTTTTTTGCACGCATTTCCTTCAATGCGGAACGGACGGGAAAAGAAAGGAGATTGCACTCGGCGCGCGCACGATCCTGTATCATTAGCAAATTCGAACCAATTTCCATTCGTTTGCCCGTTGTTGCGCTTGGAAACCGAATCGGTGGAGTAGTTACGCTATAATACCACCTTTTTCCTCCTGTTCTCTCTCTCTCTCTCTATCTCATAAAAGCGAGCAACCTTTGTCAGCTCTCGGAGTGGAAAACACGTATATATTGAAAAATATAAGTATAAAAGCAGGATACAAAGGGATGCGTTTCCGTTTCAGAATATTTTATAAAGTAAACCGCACGCAACGTCTTCCCCCTCCCCGCTTCCCCTCGCGAAAACGCGATTTTCTTAGATGCAATAATTTCGAGTCGCAAAAGGATCGTAATTTCGTCCTCCCTTTTCTTTTTCTTTTTTTTTTTCTTTTTCTGCCCTTTCCTCCTTTGACAATCACGAATTGAATCTCGCCCCGATTACACAACGCTCGTTTACAACAGTGATCGCGATTACCCCAACGATGACACGCCCAAAGGATATTCCATTCGTTCCTTTCGTTCCTTCTCCCCCGTCATCCATCCAACGCGAATTTTCTTCGCTTCGCTTTTAATTAATTAAAATCTCCTCGTTTAAAACCGGCGCAATAAGATGCTCCCACTTTTCAACGTACAACACATATATATATACATACATACACACCACACCTTCCTGCCCCTTTTATCCTTTATTCCTCGCCCCATCCTTCCCTTTTCGTTCCCTCCTCCTCCTCCTCCTCTTCTTCTTCCTCGGTTTTGGAGGAACGGTTGTTTGTCGTTTCGACCGATCCGGTTCACGCTTTTTCCTCCACACCTTGACGAGGGAGCAACAACAACGAATGCAACGCACGGTTGAAAAGAGTTCGTTGCTGCGAATTCGACGAGTTTAAAAAAGTCGCGGATGTGATTTTTAATTCCAAGGGGGGGGGGGTTTGCAAAGGGATTCTTTTCCTTCGGAGGAGCATCTTTTGTCGTGTTGGCCCCCTCGGTTCCTTCCTTTATCTCGGTTAAGAACCCTCTCTCCTCCCTTGGCGAGCGAGAAACAAAAGAGTTTTCCGAGGAGAGATAGATCTCTAGGCCGATAAATTAGAGATCCCCTTTCTTTTTTAATCCTTGTTGTCGATGAAACAACAGGGGAGAGAGGAA